TCCTTCACTCAGCCACTGACCTACGGCGAGGGTGGACATATCACTCCATCCTCCAAGATGTTCTTCTATCTCTACTCTCTTTATTTCAACTCACTGTCTTAATAAAATATATACACTATATACATAAACACTTGCCATGATCGTTGGGCACACAATCAAACACAGGCAACCACGGCAACAATTGTTATATTAGCTTACCGCAGAATTTGTATCTGGAGGGTACTATCAGCTGAGGCTCCAAGATATCGTCCCTCTATGACATCCAACCAGGTCTCTTTTAGATCGCCTCACAGCTCTTCTCCTGACTTGAGTACATTAAGTCTTCCCACAGGCTTCACACATAAATGGCTGCCTGGGTTCCCTCCTCTTGAAGGAGCACACAACTAGGGGGTCCTCCTCTACCAGGAGCTCAACGAAACACGACCTTCCCTCACGATTTCTATTACTCAAGTACAACCCTTTCACGCACTTTCATTAAGTCAATATTGACTTATTTAATAAGTGCATATGTGACATACTAATTTATTGTGAATATTTTAGTTTACCTTGAGAAGCTTCATAGAAAACACCGACCTTACCTAACCTTCTTAGTATGTTAAGATAAGCATCTTATTGCTTCATAATTACAATTATTACTTAACCTATTATAGGTATAGATTAAATATTAATTGTAATTACGAAGCAATAAGATGCTTATCTTAACATACTAAGAAGGTCGGTGTTTTCTATGAAGCTTTTCAAGGTAAACTAAAATATTCACAATAAATTAGTACGTCACATATGCACGTATTTAATAAGTCAATATTGACTATAAGTGCGAGAACAGGTTGTCAAGTAAGGTCAAGAGGCCCCACGAGCCTCACATGTCAGCAAAGTATCGACATCTCATGTCATGTCATTTATTTATTTTTTATTTATTTTTATCATGTTTATCATTTGTTCATCATTTTTTTGATAAACATGTAATTTACATGTTTATCTCCTGCTCATGCCTTTAAACTATTCACTGACATTTATCATGTATTTAGTATATATTCGTATATACTATATATACCTCCTCTGACCTCTCAGTCAGGTCTGGTAGGCAGAATAACTCTCAGAGAGGTAGACTCATTCTTCTGGCTACCTGGGGTTATCTTGAGGTTATCTTCAGATGATTTCGGGGCTTTAGTGTTCCCGCGGCCCGGTCCTCGACCAGGCCTCCACCCCCAGGAAGCAGCCCGTGACAGCTGACTGACACCCAGGTGCCTATTTTACTGCTAGGTAACAGGGACATAGGGTGAAAGAAACTCTGCCCATTGTTTCTCGCCGGCGCCCGGGATCGAACCCGGGACCACAGGATCACAAGTCCAGTGTGCTCTCCGCTCGGCCGACCGGGGTCATAACACCTGGAGTTTGTAGTGCTTAATTTTCTTTGGATTTTTAGATTAATTTACTTTTGGTTTATTTGCGTTTATATGGAAAATGACTTTATTCTGGGCAGGCATTTGATTTAATATTTCTTTCAACAGCTGGCCCGGCTGTTTTTTGGTTTTTGACCGCCTGGAAGAAGTTTTCCACTCCGAAATTACCGGACTTGGGGAGTGAACGCCGTAACCCAACACGAGTTTATTGAGCCAGGTTAGGGGAGGCTGTTCCCGATCCGGAGTTTACTGATGTTGGGTTAAACGCCGTAGCCGAACCCGGGTTTACCGAAGGTTTACGCCACACGTCAAATTTGTCAACCTTGGTGACTGCACGTCGTAGCCACAGTCTAGTTTACCGACATAGGTTTACCGAAGGCTGAAGCCACATGCCCAATTTACTGATCCAGGTTTACCGTGGGTTGAATCTCATAGGGTGGTCGGGGTCAGCTCCAATCCCACCCCGAAAGGAGAATCGGCCTCTGAACTCCATTCATAAGGTCTGTAAATATGAAATGTGCAACGAAAAATCCGAATAGTTTAAGTCATTTAAATATTTGAGTACTCAGATATTGACATGTACAACGAATGTTCACATGACAGATTTGTGTTTTGAGCACAACCTTTTGATTACAGTGATGAAGATAGTGTGTAGTGAAACTGATTTAAGTTTTGATGAAATCTGTTTTAGTATTAATATAAACATTTGTGACGATTTTAACGCCATCTGTTGAGCGCAGCCACCCCATTTTCTGATCCCTGGTAGATGGCTGTGATTTTACTGACAACTGTATAGTTTCCATCTTACTATTCATTTTTTGCTATTCAGAAGGAAGTGAAGTGATGTTTTGGCACCGTGATGATACTGGAGAGTACTGGTCCTTGATTTACCGTGAAAGGTGAACTCGCTAGCGTGAGGATCACAGAAGACAGACTCAGGGAGGGAACCTTAAGTGGTGTACAATAGAAGTGGACTCGCCGGGAAAGATGACTGCAGAAGTTCTTTCATAGAATCCTATGGGAAAGTGACACCAGCTGTGTTATGCGCAGTACATAAGTGTATATAGTTAAGAAGTACACATGGTGATGGTTTATTTGTTTAGTGTTGTTTACCCTCAATTCCTGTTGGACTATTACTGCCAGTTCTTAATAACTTACCTATAACTCAGGGTAGGATCGAGTAAGAAGAGGCATTACAGCTCCATATGTTTGATATGAAGAGAACCCGGCTACTGGCTAAGTGCGGATGTAGCAACATTAATACCAACTATAAAAATGAATAACTGAATGACGTAAGTTTTTCTCAGTTTTTTTCTTCAAAATAACTATTGGAATATTTTTAGTATTGGGATTCAAGCTGCAACTGTGGAAACCGTCGAATATAAATCACTCTAATTACTCTTGTTCACCGAGTTGCTCTTCTCCTCGCATTTTCTCTCAGTGTTAAATTATTACAATAAAGGGATCCTACTGAGTCTCTCTACTTGTGGCATGGCATTAAATAGGCAAATATATATTTAATTACAGAGGAACAATGAGGCGAGTAGAGTTGTTCCACAAAATAAAACCAAGGTTACCATATTAGTTTCAAACGATTAATGCCTCAAGATCTGAAGTCCACCTTTCAAAACCTACTGGAGAGTTCAAGCTAGATTATTCCCATAGGAATGCAAAGACTCACAAACGGGTCAATGACTTTTCAGTTTACCGTTTGACTTTCACCCGTACGGATGAAAGTGAAACGTCTGTGGCTGGAGATGTGCCACCCGGTTGTTGGATTGAAGGGGGGTTAGATCTGCACGGCAGAGATCCGGTAGTGCAGCGGTTGTGCACCGGGGGTTGGTGTGTCGCGGTCCTTTGCAAACGGAGAGGCATGGCTTGTGTCCAGTACACAAGGCAGATGTTCGTCATATGATTATAGGTGGTGACACGCTGTTCGATGATGGCATGTGTGACGGAGGGAGTCTCTCGTCTGCTTCCTGTGGCTTGGGCCCTCCTGTGAAGTCTGGACTCTGCGTGACCGAAGTCGTGCCTCCAGTGTGTCTGGGGAAGTGTGTCTGGTTGCGACGACCTCATTGAAGTAGGGCGTGGTGGAAGGGGTGCAGTGTAGTACTGCGGGTGGTAGCCTGCAGGATGTTTGGGTTCCACTGCCTGCTCCGTGGACAGGTCTTACTGTTGGTCTGGTGGGTCCGTCTGTTACAGCATGTGGGTCCGGTGCCTCGTGGTTATTGTGGGGATCTCTCTGGGGTCTTCCAACAGTCCGGCAGAGCACCACAATGTCTGGTGCTCTGCCGGATGGTAGTCGGGGGAGAGTTGTTGAACAGAGCCAGCAACAGACAGCTAGCGACAAGGTGAGGTTGCAGAAGGGTTTTGGGGCGCCTCCTGTGGATGGCTCCGTGTCTACAGGCTTTGGGACTGACATGAAAGGAGTGTCGCATTCTGTTATCGGCTCGTAAAGTCATCGTAGGCAGCAGTGAGCAGATGATTGGTGCAGGTTGAGGTTCTCCGCTCTTTCCGTGATATTTTCGGTACTCTGTTATTTATGCATTGTTTTATATTACTGTGTTCCATGTTCAGTATTTGGCATAGAATTTTCATTGTTTGTATGGTATTTCTGTACATATATCTTTAAGGAATATGAATGTTGTATTTCTGTATACTCCCCTATGAGTGCCCCTTCATGTGTTGTTTCTTGTTAATGTGTGGTTGGGAAGGTGTAGAGTATGAGCGCTGCAGGTGTTGTGCTTTTCGACGTTTGTTCACAGCTGTATATATTTATTTTATACAGGTATTGTATGTTACAAATTATTTGATTTATCTTGTTTTTAATAGTGTCGGGTTTTTGTTATTGTTATTCTGCACGTGAGGATATTTTGTTGCTTACTGTCTGCGTTTCTTGTGTCTGTAATTCTAATTAAGTGAGAATGTTTTCTTATATTTTCTTTATGCTATTTTTGTGGTTTTGTTGTAAATGTGCGTATTATTGCGCATTTTGCAGTGTTATGCGCTTGTTTTATGTTCACTTGTGGTTGATGTTATAAATATTATTGTAAATATTTCCTAAACTTTTTACCAGTGGAAGAAAATAAAAAGACCAACAGCCAGTTAACATCTCGCCAACCACCTTATCCAAGCAAAGGGAATGCAAAAAAAGATTACCTGTTCCACTTGACGGTAACCCCCTTTTCTCTTGTCAAACGTACTTGGTATATATTTTTCCCTGTTCATATTTTTGTAATACATTGCTATGACCAAGAATCTGCTTCCATTTCTCTCCATCCTTCCTCAACCCCCTCCACCCCAGTCTTCTCACTTGTTGGTGAAGGAAGGAGTAGTATTGTGTCAACTGTTGTGTCGTTAGAAGTTAACAAGTGTATTTTTATTGAGTTAAGTGTGATATTTTGTTTTACGTTTGTCTTATGTCCACACTAATGTTAGAATGTCACGTTTAGGGCATGAGGTATACTCCAGTCTTTCATTTGTGGCATATAAACTGTTAGATGAAAGTGACAACCAGCGAGAATTACAGTTGTTTCTTTTTGTAATTCTGTTCAGACGCCTCACTGTTTCAAGACAATCCAGACTGCCAAGCCTAACCAATGTTACACGAAGGAGGTCTGGATCAAAATGGTCAGATTCCTCAATGAATGCCATTATCTCTATATTATGTTGATTAGGTAGGTCCTACCTGCACATATTCGTATGTAATTTTTTTTTATTCTGCTATACCGTGTCTCTCCTCCCGTATAGACGTAATGGCTTGTGCATCTTCTGGATAATTGCCTAGTGTCTTTCCTCACAGACCTTTTTCTTTTCCACGGCACAATGTTATCCTGCATGCTTTCTGCCTCGTCATTTGTGCGTTTTGGGGATATTTTCCTAGCAGGTTTAATTTAATAACTATATATATATATATATATTGTAACGATAATCTCTTTCAAGAGAGATTGAGCCTGCTCTTCTCTACATCATTACGTCGTTAAAGTACAAGATACTATATAGAAGATACGTCCACCAGTATCGCCAAACGTTTTGCCCAGGAAGCAAATCGTACCATGCACACCCCGACACCAGCCACAGCCGCCGTAACCAGCAAACTGCTCATCCTCCGCCTGCCTGTTGCTGATTGGCTGATGTCTCGCCGCACCTGCACTCACGCCACCACCAGAGTCGTTGTCTGGGCAGCAGTACGCCGTACTCGTCAGAATATCTCTGTGCTCCTTGGAGTTGACATCTCTCGCTAGTAGACTAAGCCTTGGCTTTCGTGTACTAAGGGAGGTGGCAGCCTGAAGCCAATATTCCAGCACCCATTATTTAATTTATATTGCTATCAATATTTTTGCATTCTGGTCTTAGAGTAACTTTTCATTGCCAGTTATTATTCATGTTATTTTGTTTGTTGACCAGTGTTGAATTTTATGAGATTGTCTTTATTCATGTCTTGTTTTCTAGAGTAATTAAAATTTCATTGTTTATATACTTGTGTTTTGTGTGTCTTCCCATTACCTTACCACAGACGAAAGGACAAACTTTTCTCTTTTTTTTTGTGATGTGACGAGGCCCTGCCCCCAGCTTTTGAAACAGCCGAACACCAACGCTTTACCGTCACAATATTATATACCAAATATATATATATATATATATATATATATATATATATATATATATATATATATATATATTCTGGGGTGTGATATATATATATATATTTTAGAAGGATCCCCTGTGGGCGCCAAAGGGAACGGACGTTGGGAGGAGGCTCTGCCGGCCATGTGCCATTATCTTGTGACATCCTGACCCCACTGGGCCCAGACTCAACAGTGTGCAGTGTGAACATCCTGGGAAGGTGTGAGGGTGGCGGGAAGTGTCCAGTGTGAACTATCGCAACCAAAAATAATCAAACAACTGGATTGGCAGTGTGGAATCGTTTGAACTGCAGTGAGAGCCAACAAGGGCGCCCTGAGGGGCTCCCTCGGTGATGGTGGTGGGGGGATGGGGTGTTGTTGTGCGGTCAGTCGATGGGGGTGACCAGTGTGTAAGTGTTTATGAAATATCCCTGATAAATAGATACCTCGGCTCCCGGGAAACAGATATCGTGTTTTAAGTGCATCGAGTCCACAGTGAACCAGATTATATTGTGCAGTGATATATCACGAAATTACACAAACGTGTTAGTGTCACCCCACTGACCCCCCCCCCCCTCCCCATACCTGCTAATGTGTTCCGTTACGCAACCCAAGAGTCACTCTGTCCCCCCTGCCCCACCCCCCAACCGCGACCGCTACCTCCCTGTGTCCACCCCCCCACGCTACTTCCGCCCAGCGCCCGCCCAGCGCCCGCCCAACCCCTGCCCAGCGCCCGCCCAGCCCCCGCCCGGCGCCCGCCCAGCGCCCGCCCAGCACCCGCCCAGCACCCGCCCAGCGCCCACCCCCGCGCCTGCCCAGCGCCCGCCCACCGCCCGCCCAACGCCCACCCAGCGCCCGCCCAGCGCCCGCCCAGCGCCCGCCCAGTGCGCCCGCCCAACGCCCGCCCAACGCCCGCCCAGCGCCTGCCCAGCGCCTGCCCAGCGCCCGCCAATGTCGCAGGTCACGACTGACAGCCAGGCTTCTCTCAGCCAAGAGGAGCCATCAATCGACGACAGGAATGGCACATGCCAAGTGTGCGACAAAGTGTGGAGACTCAAGCGTAACGGAGATGTGCGCAAGCATGCTCACAACGGAACCGATTGTCCGGGTATGTGGCGCCCTCCCAAGGAGAGTATCAATCAAGGCCCCACTCCAGCAGTCAGGGAAAACACCTCCAACAGCTTCATTTCGACTGAGAATCTACTAGAAGCCATCAAAGCAACATCGGTTGGAAACTTGCAGCACATCCCCAAAGCTGCCTGGCCCCAGGCAGCAGCTAAACTATCCAGCCTCTTGAAAAAGGTCAATGACTCCCCCGGAACTATCCAAGCATGGCGCAACCTTCTCCTGTTTGGAAACATATGCCTAACTGTCCCTGCAAGGAGAGACAAATCACTAGCTTCGTCGGTCATTATGGCTATAAATAGCTTTCCTAGAGAGGACAACCAGGCACCCCTCCCCACCCATGCCAAAAACACCCACGGCAGGAAAGGTATCAACAGCAGAACCGAGGCATCCAAAATCAGAGCAACAGTCAGCAAGAAAATAGAAGGCAACACAATAGGGGTGATCAGAGTGTTATGATCCCAGGTAGCCAAAAAACGAGTCTTCCCTTTGAGAATTATTCTATCAAGCCTGACCTGACTAAGAGGTCGGAAATACAGACATGAAGATTCATATGTAAAAAAATAATGGGGTAAATTTTACACGGAGTTTAAGATTATGGGCAGTGAAGAAGAAAACAGATAAATGACTGGTTAGGAGATGTGGATAATTTGCTGGAGGCGTGAGGCTCGCTTATGGAGGGCTTTGACCTCACTTGAGGCCAGACATCGCAGGGGGAAAGCCACGCTCCGTTGAGCTCCCGTCAGAAAGGAACCCCTATTGATATATCTCCAAGAGAAGTATGCAGACGTGCCAGCTGTAGAATCGAGCTGGGAACGTTGTCGTCTCAAGTCCTGGTCGACAAGGAGAGTATTAAGCCGCCCAAAAACATTATCATGGGCCGTGGCAGCACCCTGAACAGGCTTCGTCAGAGGGAGGAGCGCCCTCGACTAGACAATCTGTGGTAAGCACGATTTAAGCCAGTTCATAGTGATTGCTTGTAGTTGGTCGTGTGCCCAGCGAAAGTAGCGATGTTTATTTATAAGTTAGACATGTTTTGATAAGGCAGAAAGCCTGAAATAAGAGAGTGGAGAGGGAGGAACACGGAGCGACGTCCGTCCCCTCTGAGCGCTGGCAGGTGACTGAAAGCTCCCGATGGCGGAGGCCCCTCCCGGAGTGAGTGAGGCCCACAGGGAAAAGTGGACCCGCCCAACGGGGGAGTCCACTCTCACAGTATGTAGAGGACAGATAGAGGTTTGAGGCAAACATATTGTGTGATTATTTTTGTTTATGTGTTAAAAGGGAAACATTTTTATTGGAGTGTCGATGGGTTGCAGGTTTGTCTTTGGGGAAGAAGTTGCTGAGAACTTCGAAGCCAGCACAGAGGGAGTAATTGATGAGACTCCAAGGTAGTGGAGGAAAGGACCTCGAGCTGTGAGGAGAAGCAGCGAAGAGGAGTGTCACGTGCTTCTGTACAGGTGGTGAAGCACCATAGTTGCTCGAGGGAACTTCATGGTGTAGCAGCCAGGAGAGCTGTGGAGGAACCTAGCAGAAGAGTGAAGCACCGTAGTTGCTCAAGGAAAACTGCATGGTGTAGCAGCCTGGAGGAGCTGCAGAGGATCCTGGTAGTTAAGCCCGGAAGAACCTGAAGAGATCAGGGTGGTGAACTTCCAGAGGTGGAAGGGAAGTTCTGGTGGATTACTTGTAGGGAGTTGATAGTGTTTAGTTGTCATTAGCGTGCAAGACGCAGTGAGAGGTGAGTGATTGTTTACATTCTTATGTCAAGGAGTGTTTTATACTGAAGTTTAGAGTTACAGTCGTAGGCTGGATTACCTACAGATGTATGTGTTCTAGGACTGATAGAGTGATCGATTGATCATTGTTGTGTATCAAGGAACATTTATAAAGATATATGTTATTGCATTCACATGCTGATTTTCTTTGTACACATTTATTGATACGTATATATATTCTCTTGCTGATGGTGCAACAGTGTATGTAGACTTGATCAACTTGAGGAGGATGATAGTATCAGGTGGTGAACCAGGAGATAGGATACCACTTGATAAGCTGATGATAGAGTTCTGATGATGTTGGAGTGCAACCTGATTGTAATAGTATAGAGTATAGGATTCATTATTATTATGTGTGTGTATGTGCTTTGTCCAGTAAATGTATTCGAATTTGCTGGTGTTTGCCCTTGTCCTAGTGAGGCTTCCCATGCAATAGTACAGAAGAGAGAGAGAGAGAGAGAGAGAAAGAACCAAGAATCACTGCGGTGGACAGGGTAGAAGGTAATACTAATAAGTCAGAGGGGGATTGAGGAGGTCATATCACCTAAGGAGAGAGTGGGGAGTCACAGCGGCTCGAGTGGGTGTGTGCACGTGACAACGAGGCTAAGTGTTGGAGCCGCATCCCCTAAACGTGTGATGTTGAGCCCTTCTCCAAGAGCCAGAAGCGCCAAGGGTGATCTCCTAGTGAGGTATAAGAACTCTACCAAGTTGTGGGTTGGGTTGTCCAGAAAGAAGGATCAACACGACAACACCACCAACCAACACAACTATAATAAGAGTCATCACCAGTGAAGAGACAGTTGCCACCAGGGATGCCGATACAGCACAAGCCCTGAGGGAAAAACACCCACCCAGAGCTCCTCGTGACGACAGTGTTCCCCTAGTTGGTGTCACCATAGCAGAACCCCTGTGTGCGCTCGAATCCATGGTGCATAGAGCAGCTTTATCCTTCCCACCAGGATCAGCAGGTGGGTTCACAGGACTACGACCCAACCACATGAAACAAATGCTCAACCCTGCACAGGGAGACATTGCACAGGGCCTCCTGGTGGAACTAACTAGATTCGCCAACACATGTCTAGCTGGCACCATACCACAGACCATACGGCCTCTCTTTTTTGGCGCTACCCTC